CCTTAACCCAACAGGCACCCGGGCCCTTATCCCAGGTGACATTAACCAATTTGCAGGATGCCCCAGGCTGAAGAGTGCCCAGACCCCTGGTGAGCCCAGACCTTGGTGGTACCATATCACCAGGAAAGTGAGTCCCAGACCAGCCAGGACAGCTTCTGGGGCAGCCTGTACAGTTGTGTCCAGAGGCCGGGATGGCTGAAAAGATAGGGGATATCTCCCCCTCCGTGCTTCAGCCAGAAGCTCTGGGCTGAGCTTCTCAGGGTAGGGATGAAGTAGGTGGGAAGGACACCAGAAGAATTGTGTCCACCTGCTCATCCCTGGGCGTGTGCTATTCTCAGAGGCTTGTTACGGAGTCCAAGATCATGCTGCCTGCTGCATGACAGGCCAATAAATCAAGAGAGGAGTTGCTCGGGCAAGAAATAGTGACTTTATTCAGAAAGCCAGCAGACTGAGAAGATGGTGGACCAGTGTCCCCAAGAACCATCCCACCCAAGTTAGAATTCAGACTTCTTTTATACTAAAAGTGGAGGTGGGTAAAGTCAAACAGTTCCTGGTCCCCATCAGCCTCTGGAGGGGATGTGTTAATTTCTTTCTTTCTGCAGTCATTCACTTGTGAGCCTGGTCAGGATGGTGCCTGTGAACTAAACAAATGAGTTTTAGGTTAATGCTCATTACCTGGGAGCAGAGGGTTCCCAAGGATGGGCCATTATTTATTATTTAAATTTATAGGCAATATCCCTTTGATGATTAACTTGTAATAGAATACAAAGGTTCCTCCCTACTAGACGCTCACAACTGGTCCTCTACCCCTTCCACCCTTACATATAGGTGCATGGGCATGTGCACACACAGGCAGTTGCACACAGATGCATGTACACACAGGCATGTACACATGCATGCACACATACACACGGGCATGCCCACATGCACACACATACATGGGCATGAGCACACACCGGCATGCCCACATTCATGCACACATGGGAGGCTGGGAGGGAAGCGACTGCCCCTCTATGGCCTGGATTGTAAAGACGTATCTCGGGCCAGGCCCCAGCTACACAGAAGCATCTGGTAGGACAAGGCCAGTCCCCAGAGGCCAAGACTCAGCTGGAGCCACTGAGGGCTAGAAGCCAGGCTCCCAGTTTCCTCCTCAGATTGATGCCACATGTATATCTTGTCCTCTAAGTCTTTTGTGCTTAAGTTAGTGAAAACTTGGTTCTGAAGGGATTATGGATGAAAACCAATTGCTTCCCTAGGAAGCAGGAGGGCCAGCATTGCCCTTCTCTTGGCCGATGGCAGCACCAGCCACCATGGTGCACGGGTTGAGACCCCCATGCACCGTGAACAGACCCCTAGCTCCACCTTGGCAGGCAGATGACGTCTGTGCCTCGGTTCCCTCATCTACAAAGCAGAGATAATAAAACACCTGTTTCATTAGCTTGTTGTGAAGATTATAGGAATCAACCAAGTCCCTAAATAAGGCTCAGATGCAGGCATGAGTCAGCCTCACGAAATGGAGCTAGGAATGGCTTCATTTACCTGCATTGGTGAGGTGTGGCCACCACGGGCCTGTGTGTACTCAGGCTGTCCTATAGAGAGTTCCTCAGCAAGACTAGTACCCAGGCCAGCCCACTGTACCTTCATTTGCTGCCTTGCTTCAAGGCCTTATCTTCTCTCTCCAGGATTCCTGCAACAAGCTCGGGTAGTATTTATCTGGTACCTGTTACATGTCAGGACGGGGAGGAGGGTCAGACGATGTGAAACACAGAAGAGGAGCTGATGGAAGCAGGCACTGGCCCTGACCACCAGGAACAAGGACGCTCAGAGCTTCAGCAAAATCACAGAGGGGCACTTGCACTCCTTTCACAGCTTTCACAGCTTTCACAGCTTTCACCCCTTGCACTTTCAGCCCTCTCTGAGAAAGTGATGTCTAAGCTTAGAAAAATTTCATGTAAAGAAGGAGAAAACTGTCCCCGAACAGAAGTAACACCATGAATTTTGTTCTTGACTGGTCTTGCTGACCCAGGTTTCCTCTTTGCCTGTCCCCTCTTCCATCAGCTCTCAGAACCAAAAGCCCCTTTTAGAAAGGAAACTTGATACTGTCACACCACCCTCTAACACCTCTCAATGGGGTTTCTGAAAATAAAATTCTAAGTTCTTGGCCCTTTCTTCCCTGTCCATGAGGTGAACCTCTTCTCTCAGATGGCTCACTCCTTCAGGAGCCCTGCACAACTCCCCCAGAGTGCCTGTTACCAACTACACCAGGATGCGAAGGGACAGGAAAATAATGTGTACTCAAGAAGCTTGAGAGTCCCTTGGACTGCAAGGAGATCCAACCAGTCCATCCTAAAGGAAATCAGTCCTGAATATTCATTGGAAGGACAGATGCTGAAGCTGAAGCTACAATAATTTGGCCACCTGATACAAAGAACTGCCTCACTGGAAAAGACCCTGATGCTGGGAAGGATTGAAGGCGGGAGGAGAAGGGGATGACAGAGGATGAGATGATTGGATGGCATCACCGACTCAATGGGCATGAGTGTGAGTAAGCTCCGGGAGTTGGTGATGGATAGGGAGGGCTGGCGTGCTGCAGTCCATGGGGGTCGCAAAGAGTCGGACACGACTGAGCGACTGAACTGAAGCAGCTAGAAATTAGAACAATTTGAGACAGATTTTTAAAAGTAAGTACTTTACAAAAGTGTAAGCGATGAAAGAAGGAATAAAAAAAGTTGGGCAACAGGAAAGGGCCCACCGATTCTACGGCGGGCCCCGCGAGCACCCCGGGGAATTTGGAGGCTGCAGGTCTGTCCCGACTGTGCGGGCTTTGGCGGGGGACGGGGATGGGGGGCGCTTCTCTGCATTCTGAGCACGGTGATGGGCATAGAGCGGGCGCTCCATCCACCGAGCCGTCAGCATTAGCCTGGCCGCCTCCGCGGACCACGCTGCGTGACGATCCGGAGCCGCAGGCCCAGACCCAGCACAGGACCAAATGAATGGAGGCACGAAGACAGCTAAGAGTCCCAGGAGCTCTGGCGCGCAGGCTCGAGAACTGACTGGGCGACCCGACCCCCTGTCGCCACTGGCCAATCAGCGAGGGCCGCAAGATCCGTGCCCGCCCCGCAGCCAATGAGCGAGGCCCCAGCGCCGGCCGCCGAATCCAGGCCCCTTTCCCGGTGCGCACTGCTGTTCGCATGTCGGGCTCCAAATAAAGTTCTTCGGGCCTTTGAATTTTTTTTTTAAAGCGCCCGCTGCAGTCGCCGCCGCCGCCGCCGCCGCCTCAGGCGAGAGCGGCCGAGTCCCCGCCTTGCCACTTCCGGTCTCGCCGCCCGGAGCCGGTGCTGGTTGTGAGGGGCCGCGTCTAGCTGCCGCCGGCCGGCTGGGGCATGGTGTTGGGCGCCGGGCCCGCCTCGCCTGTCTCGGGGTGCCCAGGTGAGAAGAGCGCGGCCCTGCGGCGGGCGGCCGCAGGGCGCTGTGGGGGGTCGGAGGGCCGGCAGGCGCCGCGGGGCGCGGGCTGGGGAGTGCGGGGCTGGGGCCGGGGCGCTGGCCGCCTCCGGGCTCCACGGACAAGCCCGCCCGAGCCCGGACTTTGGGGGCGCTCCGCGGCCCCCCCTCTCGCCCGCCGTCTCGTGGGGAAGCTGCGAGCCGCATTGTCCGCGAGGAAACGCAGCGCCCAGCGGGCTCAAGGTCACCGGTCCAAAGTGGCTGGAGGCGGCGGGACTCGGACTCGGGCAGCCGTACTCTTGACGTCCGGGGGAATCGGGCTAGGCCGGGGAGTCGGGGGGCGCCCCGAGGGTGCGTAGGAGCCGGGCGGCCGCCTCGCCGGCGTGCCTGCGGCTCCCTACTGGGGACAACCGGGGCCGGTTTGGAGGGTCTTCCCGGGGCAGAGGATGGGGGGAGGACATCTTGGACCCATCCCTAAGGCCGCCGAGTCCCGGCTGCTGTGGAGTCTTTGGGTGTGGCCCTCCCCTCCCCGGGTCTCGGTTCCCTCATCTCTCACGCGGGATTGGGCCCGCCCCTCTGCCTTCCCTCCAGCTCCCAAGTGGGGTCGGGACGGTTTCGGAGTGGCCGGAGAAGGCTTCTTGGAGGAGGTGCAGGAATCTGCTGCCTAGTCATCGGTTATCCGAAGGAAGAAGCAGGATGAAGTGGTGAGGGGAGGCAGGGCATCCCGACCTGAATGTCAGATTGAGCAGAAGCTTCCAGAAATGAGCGAGGTGTCGCTGAGGAACAGGAGGCCCCTCTACCTTGTACGGAGGGTTCCAGGCTGGTAAGGGGATGAGGCAGGGGAAGGGCCCCCTTGGGGGAGATGTTCAAAGAATCACCAGCAAGTTAACTGTTAAGGGGCTTGAGGACCTCCACCAGAACAAACTGCCCCTCAGGTAGTAGGCAGGGCAGGGGGAGGCAGGTAGACCGCTCCAGATAAAAGGGCTGGGCTCCAAAGGTCATAGGGCAGCCAACCACTGAGCCAGGTGGGTGGGTTCCTTGGGCCCTGGCCTGCTGAAGGAGGAGGATGGGGTGTGGACATTTTTATGTCCTGATCTGGGCCCCTTTTTGACTGTGGAGTTGGTTGACCCCTAGTGACATGCGGTTCCACCTTTTACACTTAGATTGGGACTCTGCCAAGGCAGGAAGAATTGTAACTAAGGAGTACCCCACCCCAGGCGCTGACTGGCCCCTGTACAGGTGGCCTGGCTTGATTTTGCCACTGCAGGCCAGAATGCTGAGTAAATACTTCTTGATGATGAGCCTAGTAAACTGCACAGGGGCTTCCCTGGTGGCTCAGTGGTAAAGAAAATGCTTGCAATGCAGGAGACTCAGGTTGGATCCCTGGGTTGGGAGGATCCCCTGGAGAAGGAAATGGCAATCCACTCCAGTATTCTTGCCTTGGGAAGTCCCATGGACAGAGGAGACTGACCTGTACGGTCCCTGGGATTGCTAAAGAGTCAAACACAACTTAGCAACTAAACCACAGTAAGTAGTGCATAAAAATCTTTGAACAGTTGCAATAAAGTCCCACCCAGAGGAAGAACTTAAATGGGCCAGTTACAGCTTAAGGAATTTAGAGACTGAGTGTGCTATTCAGTGTAATTGATTTGTTACTGAAAATGCTGCCATGGTCAAAGTGTAATTTTTGGTAAAAGGGAAATTTTAGTTTTAAACCAGGTCTTCAAAGGGTGAAGTATATCGACGAAGGAAAAGAGAATTCTGAAGCAAACCACAGGTGTTCAGTTAAACTGACAGCCTGGATAATTTATTTTATTCACATCTCTTTGCACAGAGTTAAATTAACAGCTATGGAACATGCCCAAATTAGACCTTTGGTTTATCCCTAAAGTGGTGTATGAAAATGATGCAGATGATGGAGAAAAGTTGGTCATTATGATTTCTTAGAATGTTCATAATATGTTTTGTCTTCTATGGAAAAACAGGACATCACAGTGTTTTATATCTTGCTTAATCAGAGCCCAGTATCTTTTATTAGGGGTCACAAACTTGTTGAATATCGAAAGCCAGGAATCTGACTCTAAATGGAATTGCGTATGGGGCATACTCTGCCCACAGAGAAGAATTTAGTGTGAGGTAGGAGTGTAAGATGATTAAGCAGAGTCCGTAGGCTGAGGCGACACAGAAGCATCTTGTTGTGAGCCTTTCTTTGTGTCAGTCGATCTTGCCAGGACCCTCTGAGCAGCCCCTTTCGTGCAGGTCCGCAGGGAGCTGGGTGTGGGCCAGTCGTGTGCCCTGGGACCCACTCCACTGGGCTCTTTATTATGATTTTCCTAGGGTACTGCCTACCGAACTCTGTTTACACAAGCTGTGCTTTTGTTTGCCATGTTTGTGTTATCAAGGTCAGCTCGAGTTTAAAAACCAAGTGGACTTTGTGATAGATGGAGATCTTGGCCCATCATCAGGCCACCCTGTCCACGTGGCAGGACTAATGTCCTCAAGTCTGGGTGCCTGGCAGTGGGCTTGGTCGGGAGGCAGACACTGCTTTGGGATCCAGATCTGCTTGAGGGGTTAATGACAAGCTCCCTGGAGCGGGACTGGGGGGGAGCTGGGGGTGAGCAGGAGCCCCAGGCTGTAGATGGTGCTGCTGTCCCTGGTAGCTTGTGGGCTGGAGCCCACAGGTATTCCTGACACCACCCCAGCCTTCCCTTGTGAGATTGCTTTGTAAGCTGAAGCGATAGTCCCCCATGCTGGGTGAAGCTGAGATGTGTGTTAAAGGATTATGTCCTCTCCATAGGCCCACCTGGGGAGATGGCATGGTAGAGTGGGAATAAGAAAACTAGTGATGGCTTAGAATCACATTTTGACCAATTTTACTGAGGTACAACTGAAGTCCACTATGCTGTACGTGTTTAAATCGTGTGATTTGATCAGTCTTGGTGTGTGTATATAGCCCTGGAACCATCACCACCTTCAGGATAGAAACATCCCCATCATCTACTCGTGGGAAACCAGTGTTTCTATGGTGACCTCTTCTAGCAGCTGAGTGGCCTCACACAATCCAGATCCTGGGCCCCAGCTGTCCCAGAATCCACATCCATGAAAAAGTAGGAGTCAGGGGAAGGGGTCCTTCCCAGAGCTGACATTCTAGAAGCTCGTGAGTGCTGATGTGTAGTAGAACTGTCTTTTTGAAGCATTGAGACCAGTGGTTCCTAAAGGGATTAGGTGAGTGATAGGTCCTGTGTAGTTCAGAAGAGCATATTCAATAAATTGTTTTCATAGTAGAAAATAAAATCTTACAGTCTTTGTGGGGTGGGGAGATACACAGATGATGGTGTGAAAAGTGAGGGACCTGGATTAAAATGGCTCAAGAGATCACTTAAGTGTTAGTCACTTAGTCGTGCCGACTCTGACCCCATGGACTGCAGCTCACCAGGCTCCTGTTCCATGAGATTTTCTAGGCAAGGATACTGGAGTGGGTTGCCATTTCCCTCTCCAGAAAATATCACTTGGGAGAGAGTTATTCTTACAGTTTGGCTTTCAGGACCTTGGCCTCAAACTAAAAGTTCTTTCCTTACGTCGGTTTAAATTTTTCATCTGGAAGTTCTGTGTCATTTTCTCTTGAAAATGATCAGAGTGATATTACACGGAAACGATATTAAAACAACAGAGGAAATTATGAAAATATTGAGCTGGCGATCAATTTTTGTCTTCAGTCAGACGTTCCAGAGTTCCTCTCCGACTGGTAAAGCATGCAGGAGGAGGCAGGAGGCCTGTCAGGAATGGCGGTTTGTATACATAAAGAAGGCGATGCTGGAGGACAGTTCTGTCTGTAAACACTGCTGACACCTTAAGTCCTTTTTCCCAAGCAGTCAGGTGCATCACCTGTGCTTGGTTTTTATTGTCCTTTCCAGTGAGCTGTTGGGGCGGGAGCCTGCAACACAGTGGGCTGGAGGCAGCCCAGTGAAAAGAATCTAGTTTGGGGCATTAATTGTAACTTAATTAAGTTGCTATTGCCTTCCAATGTGAGTACAGCACAATACACACAAATGTGAAGATGCTTACTAAGGTTCTAGCCACACCTTTCTTAAAGGAGGGGAGAAAGCGTTGCGATGCTCCCTCCTCACCAGGGGCGGACACTCCCCTCGGTGTGCGATGGGCCAGACACTGGGGCCACACCCTCAGAGGCACGGTCCCCGCAGCAGGGGAGGGCAGTGAACAGTGGTGGGCCCATGTGGAACCCGTCAGTGGAGGCTGCCCTAGACATGAGCTCTACATCCCAGGGCCTGCTGCTCAGTGAGTGTTGAATGCTTGGCTCTCCTTTAAAATTTTCATTCATACTTTAAAAACTCAGATTTAGAGAGGCATAGAGATTACCCAAATTCGTTATGGAGGAATGCAGTCTTATTAATCTATCTTACATGATACATTTTTCTACAACTAAATTATGGGAAAAAATTAAAAATCACCTTACCTCATTGTCTCAGTGTCTGGAGATGAGTGCTTAACCTGCCTTTGGCCTTTCAGGAAAAAGGCAGCAGTGATGCTGACACTGGCAAGCAAGCTGAAGCGGGATGACGGTCTCAAAGGATCCCGGGCGTCAGCCACAGCCTCTGACTCCAGTCGGCGGGTGTCTGTGAGGGACAGGCTGCTTGTTAAAGGTAAGGGCCACCCGAGTGAGCTGTTTTTATATCCCACAACAAAATGATGTCTTGCATGTGGCTCTTTGGGGATATGAAGCAGCCTGTTGCTGCTAAATAGAAATACCTGTTTCAAGATATTTTTAAATATAATTCCTCGTCGCTTACAACAGAAGGACTTTGCCCTGTGCACATACTGTGGGAATGCCGACGGCAGGAAAATGGTATTAGAACCGTGATGTATCTTATATACTTGGGGTGTTCTCTGCAGGGGCCACCAGAGTGCTAGTGGAAGGAGTAAGACGCCAGGGACAGCAGACCCACGACTCTGGTCTCGGTGCTGTCTTAGGTGGGGCGCGGGGTTCATCCTTTCTCCCGGACTCCTAAGCACCAGAAGATCTCATCTGTAGAGGGAGGGTAATTTCTTAGGGTCCTTCTCTCTCTCATTCAAATCACAGCCTTAGGAGAACCTTGTACAAAATTGATTCTCTTCACAGAATTAATAAAGGTGTCCTAGAGCTGTGTAGTGTTTGGAGAAGGGTTATGTAGTGTGGGGGGGGGAGGGAGGGGTGGATGGATATGTGTGTGTGTGTGAAACTTGTGCAGTTAGTCATTGAACAGAGTTGGAACTCTTGAGTGCAAAGGCAGTTTCCCAGGGTCATGAGACCCACAGAAGAAGAAACGGTTTTTCCTTGAAATACCTTATACCTGGCAGCACTTTTTAACTTTAAGACGCATATTTACATTTTGTAAGTGTAAGGATCCAGGAAGCACAGAGTGTTACCTAACTTGTTAGAACCGCCTGTTTCATTTTGTATTAGGTGGACACCATGGGGTTCCTGGCGTTTGCATGTCTGGGAACAAATCTGATGCGGGAGACCTGGCATGTGTGAGTGCCCCATGCTGGGCCTTCTCAGAAATAAAGCACCGCTGAGTCTGTGAACAGAGGTGCCGGGTTCGGGGAGACTGGTGGTGCCCTTGACCCTGCTTTCTCTCTCCCTCTTGAGTCCTAACTGAGCTCTGCTTCTCCCAGCCTGAGGGATGATGGGCTAAAGATGGAGTAAGGATCGTTTTTGACATTTTGATAGTACTTGCTATGTCAGGGAGAGCATAGACTGCATTCAGTTTGTTACAGTGCAGGAAGTTTACCCTATGGGAACTGAGGGTGGGGCCTGGCTGTAGCCCCTTACTTGGAAGGCCCGGTAAGACTTTCCCGGCTCTAGGGTTCCATCTATAGAGGAAGCCAGGAGCCAGGCAAACAAGCCAGGGAAGGGGTTCGATGCTTGAGGTTGTGGTCCTTCAAGGGGAGGGTGTTCTAATGCCAGGGAGTTGTTATGAGGGGGAGTTGTCCTGAACTCTGCGGGTGGGACACTGGCACAATAGACAGTGTCGCCTTCTTTCCATCTCCTCGTCACGGCTGACGGCAGCTGCTGTCCACTAAGCCAGGCCCTCTGTTGGGGACTTTATAGGGCAGTTCTTGTTTGACTTTGACTAAGCCTTGCCAGGTGGGTAGTTCATTTTACAACTGAAGAACTGAGGCTTAGAGGGGTTCAAAAACTTGCCCAGGTTTCAGCTTTATTGTAGCAAGACAGCCAGACCCACATTTTGGGGTAGGGAAGGCACTTGGGGAGCAGAAGCTGAAGGAGCAGAGCAGAGGTGCGAGTCCACAGAAGAGAGAATTCAAGGAGGCACCAGGCTCCACCACACCTCCTTCTGCTCAGGGACTCCCCGGGAATGCCCAGCTGCCTCCAGGGCCTGACGCAGCCCAAGGGGGCCCCATTGAGGCCCACAGCGCTAGACTCGGTCCCAGGGCCTAGGACAGGAGATGTCTTTGGCTAGGTTGACAGGCTGGGTTGAGGTCCTTTGGTATGAGCCTCATCAGGGAGAGCTGTGGAACCTCCTCACGAGGCCACCAGTTCTTTCTCCGAGAAACACTGGGGGCTATTAGGGTTCTGGGCCCCAAAGCACTTGCAGTTGATGGGTGTTTGTGCAGCAGGACTCAGAGTAACACGGCCCTAGTGTGATCTGCTCTGTCCCTCAGGCTGGGGGCGGCCAGGCTGACTGAGTGGTGAGTAGTTTGGGCTTCTGGTGGGGAGTAGGTGGAGAGGAAGGGCGGGTCTGTCCTGAGAGAGGAAGCTGTGGCAAGAGGTGCCTGATAGAGGATGCTCTGATGGGTGATGATTGCTTGGTCCACCCCTGTAGCACTGCTTCTCCTGGTTGGATGTGGCCGCAGCCTTCATTCTGGGGATTTCTGATGGTGGAAGTGAAGTCTGGTGGAGTCCATGGCTCCTGTGGGCCTGGTGAAGCCCTTGGAGGAGTGATAATTCCAAGAATCCCTTCTAGGTGAAACTCCCCTTTTGTGGCTTAGAAAAAGGTAGGTTGGTTGTCTGCGTTCAGCAGGATTGCTGCAGTCAGGACAGTCACCCAGGGCTGTGGCTTTGCCTCTGGCTCGTGTGGAAGTGTTACTCGTGAGGATCAATAAGTTGTAGAAAAGTGTGTTAATGTGTCTTTGGGGCTCAGTGCTGTGTGCTGAGCTCCCGAAGTGGGGAGTTTGGCATACCATGAGGTTATTAAAGGGCGTCCCTGGGACTGATCCCTCTGGAGGGTGGTGGAGTAAGCAGGAGCAGGGAAGAGGGAGAGCTCTGACGAAGGCCCCGGGATAGACAAGGGCCTGTCTGTCTGCTCCTGCCTCTCTGCTCCGGGGCAAGCTCAGCCCTTCGGAGCAGACCCCAGGCAGGTAAGACGGTCAGGCCTTCCTGCTCTCTGTCGACCAGTCTGGCCCGAGGCAGGAGCTCTGTGCACCTCACGGTTCCCGGAAGGACTGAGAGCTGAAGTCTGTCTGCTGTCAGCTGTCACTGAGAGGGCACCTGGGCCGTGTGCCCCATATCCCAGAGGAAAGACCACAGACACTTTTTTATTTATTTTTTTATCTGGTCTGTTGTCGTGCTTGGATGACCTTACACAGTAGGGGATCTGGCTCGGTGTACATGCCGTGGGGTTAACATGGGAGGTTGGAGGTTCACAGGGACGCTCGTCCCCAGTGGTGAGGGCCAGTGGTGGCTGCACAACTGAAGAACTGTGGGCCTGGTTCAGAAGGTGACAGGTGTAGCCAGGTGTACCTGGAAGCACTGGGGCCTGCCTTGGAGCAGCTGGTCAGCATGAGGCTCTGTCATGCTGGCCCCTGGGCCATACCAGCTTTTCACTTACACCCCTGAGGTCACCCTCAAGGACATCCTCCAGGCTGGAGCTGGAGAGGTGCTTGCAACAGCAGTCCCTGAGGTAGAGCTGTTGAGTGTTTCTGGGTGAAGACTGAGGGCTGCTGTCTGTCCTGAGTCCTGGGAGCGGGGATGCTGGGGGGAGAGTGTTGGGTCTGCATTTCCTGTTGGCCCCAGCTCAGGTCTGGGCCCAGCTCGGAGCCATTCCCCGTGTTCTCAGCCACAGGTTGGGGGCACTGCTTTCTGGTGGGCCTTTGTGGTTCCCCTGGGTCTATTAGTTCTGAGTCTGATGATGCTCCCCGCCTCCCAAAAAAGCCTCTGCGCAGAATGGTCTACTTTCTTCTTTCTGAAGCTTACTTTTCACATAATGGGAACATGTCAGCGTGTCTCCCTGTCCTTCGACTTATTCACTTGACGAAGATTTTACTGCCCAGTGTGTGCCAGCCTCCTGTTAGTGACCCCTGAAGACCTCTTGGGGCTCCAGGCAGGCTGACCTGAAGCGTTTCCTAAATGTGGAGATTTGATGTTGAGCTGACTGAGTTCAGGGCCAGGTCTGGAGTTGGAAACTACAGGGACTGATTCTGCAGCCTTCGTCCCCTCAGCCGCTGTGCCCCAAGTGGCCCCTGGTGTTCTTGTTTCCATGGCTGTGGCGGCTCTCTGTGCTCCTGGCCTGGTTTGCCGAGCCAAGAGGCCTGGCTGCCCACCTGCATGGGCTTTCCAACATCCAAGGTGCAGGTGTCCCCACAAGGGGCCACATGTTGGCCTTCCTGGTTGAGCACTTCTGTGCCCACCGGGGCAGTCCAGTGCTATGGTGGTGTAGGGAGGGCTCTGGTCCAGGGCGCTTCCGGGAAGAATGGGCGAGAGAGGAGCATTTGTTGTTCTCCAGAACTTTTTTGTCCTTGCCAGCCCTGCCCAGGACTCTGGAGGTGGGCTGGCCATGCTGGCAGAGTGTCCAGAGCATTTAGCAGCATGTGAAGTTGTGGGCTATGTGTTACAAAATGTGTTTAAAATAAAACTAGGGCAGTGGCCCAGAGAGGAGGAGCCCTACTAACGTGGAGTAAGGTGGTGGCCCACGGCTCCCCTTTAATGCTTTTTTACAGGGTTTTAAACACCAGTGAAACCGCCTGGGAATGTGGCACCCCCCTCGGACTTGCCAAATAGCCCCAGATAGCCCTGAATCTGGGGAAAGCAGGGCCGGTGGGGGCGGGGAAGATCTGTGCAAGAGGAGTGAAGGTTCCAGTCAGCTTTGTCTGCTCGTGTTGAGAGTGGGTGGTTGGACGCCGTGGGGCTCCACCCCCATCCAGAGCAGTCTCTGCTGCAGACGCTGGTTTTCAGGGTTACATCCTTGCTGCCCCAGAGTGTGGTGTGGCCCTGACTCCTCTCCTGTGGCCCTCTTTCTGCAGTGTGCTGCTGGAAGACCCTTAGACTGAGTGGAAGTGGCTCAGTGGGGGTTTGGCCTCAGCTGTAGCAGTGCCATCTCTGGGAGTGGGATGATGCCTTTGGGTCAGGTGTCTCCCCATAAAGGCACTGTTCGGGGACACTGGCAGTGCAGAAGAGGCACTCAAGGCGTAAAGACATACAGGAAGCTAAGAGATAAAGTCCTAGATTGAGAAACCTAAGAAGTAGGGGTAATTGAGGTAAGAAGAGGCAATCGAGTCTTCTGGGCAGCAGCTTCCAGCTCTGCCTGGGTCAGAGGGCACAGCTGTCCTGCCTGGGTTTCCTGACAGGGCTTGGAACTGGCTCCTGCCCAGAACCATTGGCATCTGTGATTGGGCTTGGTCTTAGCTCAGGCTACCATGATAGAACACTACAGACGTGGGAGTTGGGGGGCGCCTGGACATGGGGAAGGCCAAGGCCAAGGCATTGGCAAATTCAGTTCCTAGGGAGGGCTTCCTGGCTTGTAAGCACCTGGGTCTTTTCCCATAAGGGCACTAATCTTATCATGAGGGCCCCACCCCACCTCATTTAACCCTAATTACATCCGAGAGGCCCCACCTTATATCATCACGTGAGTTTAGGGCTTCAACATATGAACTTGGGCAGGGGGCTCAGTTCAATCCACTACAGCTTTGGAATGCCTTGGTTACCAGCTGTATGAGGAACAAAGCTCCTCATATCTCAGGATGTCCACACTGCAAGCACTGCCACTCTGCTGGCAAGTGTGCTTGTTGGTCAAGCATTTCCTAAGCACTCCATGTGTGCCAAGCTCAGGCCCAGGGACTGGGGTCCCAGGGCTGGATCAGAATGTGCAGCCCCCACCATGGATAATGTGCAGGTTCCAGGGGCGGGAAGCAGCTGGAGCACTGTGTTGTGAGCAACCCACAGCAGGGAGGGGGTCCATGCTGTGTGGGGGCCATTGTGGTAATGGGTTGATTTTGTAATCTGACATTTCAGTGCAGTTGTGCTTCAAGTGGGCTCTGTGGTTTGGTCTTTAGTTAGAAAGGAAAAGAATCTAATTTCTCAGAAGGAAGTTGTGCAGCCACTTAATTGTGCAAGGTGCCAGGTATCTCTCCAAAGGCTGGGCTGGTGAGCCAGAGAGGTGTTAGCATCTTTGGTTGGAATAGGCAAGACTTTGGCAGTTTAAAAATAACTAACTTCTTGGTACCTTCCAGGTGGGGGTAGTGAGTGTCCTTCGAGCAGGGCAGGACTGCTGCTCTGCCAAGAGGCCTCTCAAGCATGTAAAGCAGATCGCTCCTTTCTTTGGTCATAGTCTTTGTATGTAGATTCTGAATTAATTGGGCTTCCCTGCTGGCTCAGCAGTAAAGAATCCACCTGCAATGCAGGAAACTCAGGTTCAATCCCTGGGTTGGGAAGATCCCCTGGAGAAGGAAATGGCAACTCACTCCAGTATTCTTGCCTGGGAAATTGCATGGAGAGAGAAGCCTGGTGGGTTACAGTCCATTGGGTTGAAAAAAAGTTGGACACAACTTAGAGACTCAGCACTTTCTGAGTTAATTGCTGTTGCTGTTAGTGAATTACTGTTAGCCCTCATTTGAAGTGTACAGGTGTCATTTGTGACCCCTCCCTGAGAGGAACACTGCATTGTAGTTCATTTATCTTCTGTACTGGGCTGGACCAAAGTGTCAAGCTTCTTTAATGAAACCCTTCTACAGGTCACATTTCTTGCATGCACTGGTTCTTGGACCAGAGGCCCTGACTGTGGTTGTGGTCATCACTGGACTGGGTCTGGGGACTGCACTCTGTGGCCCTCATCTTCCTTCCCCAAGGGAGTTACACTGATGGGGAAGTTCAGGCGTAACACTCTTCTTTGGAGTTTGATTCTAGACCACGATGTGAAATTATTAAATCTGTCTATGAACATAGCTGTGTGTAGATACTTTAGCTTGGCAGAATAGCCTACAGTGATTTCCTACACTTGGAGAGAATAGTAAGATTCAGGGGCCTTGGTCCCACCCAGGCTTTTCAGTGTAATTGGTCTGGATGAGGGGGTGAAGGGTTGCTCAGCAGGTACTAGATTGTGGGGATGGATGCACAGCTCCTAATTTTACTAAGAGTTACTGAACTGTACACTTGACATTGGTCTGTTTACACTATGTGGATTGTACGCCCCCGATGACTGTGTGCAGTCAGGGCGGAGAGTCCCTGCCCTGCGTGAGGTGTCCTCAGCTGAGAGCCTCTCGTCCCCCGACCCCATCCCTGTGTGCAGGGTCCGTTCTGTCTCTCGGTCAACATGATGCCCTGGTCAGTGCCTCTCTGCCCTCCTGTGCCCAGACCTCACCTCTTCCCTGTTCCTTGGTGCCAGCCTGTCTTCTCAAGTATTTCCCTTCTGTCATGTGGCCCCCTTTCATGTCCTCTGGGCACGTTTTCTGTTTCATTGGGCTTTTGTAAAACTGAACAACCAGGCTCTTAGGACAGCAGTCAGAATAGGCCTGCCAGAGAAAACTGGGTCCCAGGGGGCAGCATCAGTCTCTCCAAACGGTCCTCAAAAAGGGTTTCTTGTAAATTCTTATCAACCAAAAGCTAATAGTATAATAAATATGTAAATAGTATTTGCCTTAAAACTATATAGGTTTCATCATATGGATTATGTTTATTTAGAAGTGATTAATATGCATAACTCATTTGGTAAGATGTGCATTTTGATAAAATGAATGCCCTGTGTGCACTGTTGGAGCAGAGCCAGGTCCTTGACCCCGTCCTGGTCAGAAGGCCCATGTGAGCCGCATCAGAGCATTCCTTTGCCCAGTGCCCTGCTCTATGGAAGGCCTGGAGGGGGTAGCCTGTCCCTTCTCCAGGGGATCTTCCTGACCCAGGAATCAAACCGGGTCACCTGCATTGCAGGCAGATTTGTTACCAGCTGAGCTCCCAGGGAAGCCCATGGAAGGCTAGAGTGGACCAGTCAGAAAGAAGAAATGAAAGGTCCTCAGGGTCATTATAAGGATGGTGCTGGTGAACGTTAGAGGATCGGCAGCATTTTGTTTTAAGTGCGTATATTCTAATGCACCACAGCACAGGACTGCCCAGAGGATAGACCCCAGGCTCGCATTTGATCACAGACTGCCCTTTGTTTCTTGACTCCTCCCTCCCCTGCCCCACCTCACTTTCCTGGTTACCCATCCCTAATGCCTGGACCCCAGAGCTAATACATCTAGTGGGCCAACTGTCTCTACCCAGATTGTCAACCAGCTGCAATCAGAGGCCTGGCTCTTCCCTAAACCCTCGGCCTCAGAATGAGATGGTTGGGTGACATAACCGATTCGATTCAGTGGACATTAATGTGAGTAAACTCCAGAGATGGTGAAGGACAGGGAAACCTGGCATGCTGCTGTCCATGGGGTCACAAAAGCTCAGACACGACTTAGCGACTGAACAGGTCTTCCCATGAATGCACTCAACTCTGCAAACATCGAGGCCCCTCCCTCCTCACCCGTTCCCTCCCGCCTCCTCACCTGAAGGAGTTATTTGCTCCTTTGTGTTTTGTAGTCTGGAAAGGTTTCCATCTTTCCACTTACCTTCCTGCTGGTTTGGATGCACTCCACAGGCTCTGACCCACATCCCGGGCTCTCCCTCAGGCCTCATCCCCCTCGCACCACTGGACCAGCGTGCCGTCTCTGCTGAGTCGCTCCTGCATCTCCTCTGGTGACTGTCCCTGCTCCTGCCCTCTGCTTTCTGCCGGAGGTCTGTCTTCTCACCAGCCTCTCCCCTCCGTGGGCCTCATGCTGTCAGGTGGCATGGCTGCAGGGCTTCCAGCCCTGGTCGTGAACCCAGACTTCACTCCCTCCGTCCCACCTCTGTCGCCCTCCCCCTCAGTGGCCCCCAGCCGCACCCCCACATCCTTCCATCCACCTCACTTCTGGGCCTGCCCGCTCTCCCTGCCGGTCAGGAGCAGCCACCTCACAGGTGCCCTGGCCCCCGCTTTGCCCTTTCTAAAGCTGTGCCCTTTAGGCAAAGTTTCAGATATGTCAGAGGCACGGGCGACTTGCCTGCCCAGTTGCTGGGGGCTTTGCAGCTTCATCCTGGCAGAGAGGTGCTGGGCCTGAGCACCGAGTGCATGCCTGATGGAGAGCCCCAGAGGAGAGCGCTGGGGCTGAGGAGCATCGCCCCGGGAGGAGGCTCCCTTGGGTGTCGGTGCACCCACAGATGATGGGGCGAGCGCACGGGCCCAGCAGGAGGCAGAGCGTTTCCTCTCGCTGGAAAAGTTTGAGCGCAAACTGGGCGAGCCCTCGCGGGAAGACGAATCTGGAAAAACTGGAAGAGGCTGAGTTATAAATAGAAATCAGATTTTGAGGGCAGTAGTTCCACTACTTGGGGGAACGAGATTTTCAAAACCGCTTTAGTGACTGTTTACCCATAGGTAATTTCTGTTAATTTTGAATGATTCTCATTTGTACTAAAGTAAAATTTCAAGGGCCCTTGACTGCACTTGTTGGCATCCTGCAAGTCACTGTGTGTATGTGAAAGCAACTTCATGGCTTACAGTTTAAGTGTCAGACCCAAGTGTAGATTTTGGTTAATTCTTTTTTTTTTTTCTTAAGTGTCTTGCAGGGAAATGCCAATTTAGAGCAGGTGATTTTATGTGGAGTAATTAACTAATATTAACAGTAATCTCTTTGTTTCCACAGAGGTTGCAGAACTTGAAGCTAATTTACCTTGTAAGTATAGCATCCCCAACCAAACATTAAATGCTATAAAATAAATTGCATGGAGAAGCTTGTTTTATGTTTTAATAACTTTACATAGCAAAAAGCCTATTTTATATGTGTATTAGGAATAAGCCTGCATTTTGTGCAAACAGGTAGCAGGGTTTTTTCGAGGCCCTGGGAAGGAGAAAGTAGCCGACAACACCCCCTCTCCCTGTTGCCGCAGGAGTGCGTTAGTTAGGGCTCGTTCCTCCTGCACCCATTCTGTCCAATGTCCCCTTCCAGTGAAGAGGCATGTGAATCAGGGATGGACAGTCCTGTTCTTGTTAGTGATGGCACCACCATTTTGGTCCAGAAAGTACTTACTTGTGACTGGTGCTTGTGCCCAAGGTTGGACAGCGGTGCTGTCTTGATGTCTTCAGGCCTGCTCCCCTTGCTTGGTCCTTCCCACCCGACACGTGGGCCTGACTGAGGGCCTCGCTCATGAGCAGGCGCGCCTACCCAGCGTTCACTCCTGCAATACGTGTCATCGATGCCTTCCCAAGCCCTTTATGGTGTGCAGGACCATCAAAGTCTAAATGCTTTGACCACTGTAGTGTTTTTTGGAATTGGAAGTTTTTATCGTTACACTTGGTTAAGGCTAAGGACGTTTTTGATTTCAATGAAATATTTTATACTTAGGTCTCCTAGTCTGGGCAGATGCTCGGGAGAGCTTGATACAGAGGCCTGTCTCACACAGGGTGAGAGAGGGCCTTCTCCAACCCCACCGAAAGTTGGAAAGATCCTTGTGGGGTGCAGTGCTTCAGTGGTTGTGCAGCCAGTATTTAAGGGTTAGTACATACTCCTTGAAAAATTCTTTTAAATATGTAACATTTATATATGAGTATAGTGGGTTGTGCTAAAATATATTTCTTAGTGTTGGTCAAGAATGTCTTAAAAGTAGCTGGATTGCTTGACTTCAAAGTTTCCTTCCAGGCAGAACAAGAAGGAAATACTTTGGGATTCTATGAAAAGGTTATCTTTCTACCTACGGAAGTATTTACAAATAGTTTGCTTTAAAATGTTCCAGGACAACAGGCAAACAACTGTGTGTGGGTAGGATAGGGAAGCAAGGTCGGTGAAATCCTGAAGCCGGGTGACAGCTGTGTTACACTGTTCTCACTCTTTTCTTCCCCTCTTCTTTTCAGATTATGTAATAATCTAGTAAAATCCAGCTAAAGAGGAAAATGACGTGGTCCTTCTGTTCTCAGCCCCCATCATGTCTTCCCACTGGCCCCCAGCTTGAGCATATATACTCAGGCAGACATTTAATCAAAGGCCATAAAACCCAGAGATTGTCGGTTAGTAACCCATAGAGTATAGTTTAGCTTTATCTAAAAGGTTAGTTTGAAAACAATAAAACTATAATTGGCTTTCAAACCAGGATTTTAACTGGATATCTTAGGTTTGAAAAAGGCATGACCTATCTTCCCAGGCCGTACAGGTGTGGTGTGAGATTAAACAAACTACATGCTGCATGCTTTTCTTCTGTCTTCCTGCCTGCTTTCCCAGTCACAGTGGATACAATATAAATCAGCTTATACAGACAGCCAGGCTTTCCACAAGTACATACCTCTTTAGCTCCTTCTAAAGAGGAAATTAAGAAGCCATGAAAGAACATATCTTTCCTGTCTAATTCATAATCTTTCTAAAATATTAAGGCACGCAAAATAACTTGCCATAGAGCAATGCTGCTTAGAAATTTTTAAGAACTAGTTTGGAACTCTGTACCTGCGAGTTTATAGAGGTTTCTCTGTTTGCAAAAAATAAAAAACATCTCTTTCAATTAGATGGAAATACTAAAAGTGTTAGCCTATGTCTACAGACAGAGAAAAAGCTTAATTCTGGAGTTTTAATAATTAATGGTTTGCCGTTCCCTTCTCCAGTTTAACTGAACTAAAAACCTGAACTAAAACAAAAACCTGACTTTAACTTTTTGTTGTCATTGTAGGAACTTAGACTTCTCTTTAGCTTTAAAAGATTTAGTTCTTTCTAGGAGTTTTACTGTTTTTGTTTTTTTTTAACCCATCTTGATAATTTCTTTATTCTTGGTGGGTCAGTCTGTATTAGAGGGATTGATGTCTATATCTGTCCCTTTATTAAATGAGAATATGAAGCATTAAAGACAAATGGATGGTGCCAACTTTATCTAATTAATGAAGCATTTCCCACACCCTTGTCATATGTTTTTGTTACATATATTTCACTAGAAAAATGGCATTTATCTTTTCAAGTTAAATTAGGAAAAACAAAACCCATTTAAACTACTATGCATGGTTCAAATGTGTGTCTTGGGTGAAAACCTTGGATTCTTCAGTCCCTGGTTTCTTTGTTTGAAAAACAAAGAAAATGACAGTGTGATCTCTGAGACTCTGTCCTGCTTTTCTAGACTAAGTTACCTTTTATTCTGCATTGATTTTTCTGAAGCATTGGTCCAAAAAAAATACCCCACAAACAGTTCTGCATTGTTGTTGTGTGTCACATCTAGCATGTTCATGGAGTAATGAAATGAGGCATAAACTAGTTTTAATTTGGGGGCTAAACTTTCTTCTGTTTGATAACCTGTGTGGTCTTGGGCCGGTCACTGTACCTCTCTGGGCCTTCGTGTCATCTTTCACAATCGATGATGTCGGACTCGATGGTCTCTAAGGTTGTGTCCCAGACTAAAGTAGAATCTTTCTCTTTTGGATGAAAATTCATACCGTGTGAAACTAGGCAGATATTCCCAGTAGGACTTGTAAGAAATTGTCAGTAGTTGACTCAAGGAATCTAGCATACTGTTTTCCAGGTTTATAAAATAGAATTTTTATCTGTATTCCCTCCATCTTCCTTCTATATTTAATCCCTTGGGTATTTGCTCTTCTCACGTGTCCTTTGTTTGAAGGCAGCAGATGGCGGCTGTGGCCACCTTACTCTGTCCGCCCCACCACGGCAGCGCTCTCAGGGGGCTCTCCGTTAATCCAGACCCTCTTGGCCCTCACGTGGGCCAAGTGTCACCACTGAGTCAGCTGAGCCTCATTCTGCCAGCTAACCAAGTGGAGTTACCAGTTGGGTTGTGAGGATGTTAGGGGGTAAAAAAGAATGCCATGGCCGGGGCATGCGCTTCCTCAGCTGGGACAGTTCTTTGTAACTTCTGTGTGCTGTGGTGGGTACAGACCAGAAGTGTGGCCTGGGCTCTTTTTCATGGTTTTTCTATATTTAGCTTGTCTTTACCCACATACATTAATCTCCCTGAGGTGTGATTTCTCTTCTTAAAGTAGCACCAGTCTTGACATTAATGGAAAGAGCTCTGTTTTTAGGAACCATTTAAAGGGTGACAGATAACATGGTCAATTTGGAGTTAACTAATAAAAACCTGTAAGGAGGAAAACACATGACAAGTATCAGTGGTTTGCAGTTTGAGCACATTGGTATGATTATTACCAAACAAATAGACGAAATCTACTGGTTTGGCCTGTCAGCCTCTCAGCAGCGTTAAACTTTCCATGTATTTTGAGGTTTACCTCAATGTAAGGACTACCACTAGCCTTCCTGACGAAATGTTTCTTTTGCAGGTACGTGTAAAGTGCATTTTCCTGATCCAAACAAGCTTCATTGCTTTCAGCTAACTGTCACCCCAGGTAATATTCTTACATGTATATGTGTTAAAGTGATTTTCAGAAAGCACATTCTAAAGATTTTCCAAGTCTATAATCTTTGGTTTGATTTGTCCTCTAACTTTTTGTAAGTTATGACAGCAGTGACATTCCAGATGAAGAGGAGATGCATGCCATGTGGTCAGATAAAGCATCATGAAGTGATCTGAGGCATGCGGCATGTACTCTAGGAACTGGTACAGACTTTAACAGCCCGAGGGAATAATGGTGGAGGCTGCTGACGCAGAGTGAAGAGCATGAGCCCCGAGGTCTTCACTGGGTCCAGATCCTGCTCTGCCGAATTGCAGCAGCGCGGCCATGGCTGAATTGTTCAGGAACCTGTCTCAGCTGCAGCCCACCCAGCTGCAAAGCGGGATCAAATAGAACCTATCTCATGGGACACTTGTGAGAATTAAGTAGATAATGTGTGTGAAGTACTTCAGCCCAGGTCTAGCAGAGGAAACAAGCAGATAACCAGCTGTCCTTGTTAGCACTGATAGGTGTCTAAGCTGGTAGATATTTCTCGTTGGTCATACTGAGCCTCTAGAGAGAGGGTGTGGGTCTTTCCTAGTTACGGTGCGGTTGGGGGTGTACAGCTTCCAACACTGCAGCCCACCAGAGTTCATTTGACAGAGGGTGTTGTGCCATGGCAGGCTGGCTGGGGAGAGAGAGCAGGGCAAAGAGAATTAAGCAAGGGGATGGAGTACTGTGGAGGAAGTGGAGGGTGGTGTTTTATTTGGAAGGTGGAAAGCAAGTAGGAAACTGGGAATCATGAGTCACTAGCTAATTAAACAGTGAAGGAGAATGCAGAATTTCAGTGGGTGATAGTGAATCTGCAAATAAGCCCTCGTGTTGTCTGCCTGCAGGTTGGATGGGAGGTGATGTATGACAATAGGAGAAATCCTACTTTCAAAATGTGCTGAAATCTTTAAAAATTTCGTGTAATCTGTGTGGTGCTTCTACAGTCGCCTCTGGAATATATCCATAAGTTCAGTCTGGTACCATCTCCATTGTCTAAGTTGAGCAAGCACCAGGGTAGAGATCCTAGCACCAGGACACTGTCATCAGAAATGGGCCTGACCCCCAGAGAGGACTTTTACCTGTAAGGTGAGGGGGGCTCTTCCCATCCTTTGGCCGCCTTCACAAAGATGTCGCAGGTTTGCTGTGTTTAGCGAGGGGTACTGAGCACACACTCATGTTTCCTGGTGACCAGAGGTCACCATTATGCGCATCATTATTACTGTTACGCACTTCAAGGTATTTTCAGAAGTGATTGTGGTGATTTAGATTGGTTTTCTGTTTACTAAGTGGTCTCACTCTTGTGTGTTTGTAGTAAAAAATTTTCTTCCCTCTGCCTTTTTAAGCATTTTCAGTGGCTCTCATGGATTCTGCTGTTCTGCTCAAGCTTGGGCTTTGTGGTTCTCAGCTCTTCAGAGACCTGGTTTGCTTTGCCAGGCTTGTCGCTCTCTTACATGTGTCGAGTCCAACCTCTGGATAACTCTTTCTTTTTTTTTTTCAACTGAATGTTTTTACTGAATGACATGAACATTCTCACTACGGTTGTGTCTCTGACATCATCTTTGATGTTCTTGTTCTTGGAACTGTACCACGAGTGTTCCATCAGGTGAAAAAGCAACTTGTGTGTTGGTGCCTGTGGCTGCCTGGTGCTCGAGCGTCCGTGTCTGTGGGCGCGCGCACATGTGGCTGCCTGGTGCTCGAGCGTCCGTGTCTGTGGGCGCACGCACATGTGGCTGCCTGGTGCTCGAGCGTCCGTATCTGGGAAGCGCGCACGTGTGGTTGCCTGGTGCTCGAGCGTCCTTGTCTGGGGACGCGCGCACGTGTGGTTGCCTGGTGCTCGAGCCTCCGTGTCTGTGGGCGCGCGCACGTGTGGTTGCCTGGTGCTCGAGCGTCTGTGTCTGGGGACGCGTGCACGTGTGGCTGCCTGGTGCTCGAGCGTCCGTGTCTGGGGACGCGCGCACGTGTGGCTGCCTGGTGCTCGAGTGCCCGTGTCTGTGGGCGCGCGCACGTGTGGTTGCCTGGTGCTCGAGCGTCTGTGTCTGGGGACGCGTGCACGTGTGGCTGCCTGGTGCTCGAGCGTCCGTGTCTGTGGGCGCGCACGTGGAGCTGTGTGGTGTGCTCCTGTTTGTGGTGTCAGTGGGGCACCACTCGTGAAGTGGTGCTGTCTGTGGCAGTGAAGCTGCTATTTCTCTTGCCCTGGATTATTCAGAGAAGCATCACAGACGTCTGCCAACCCCAAAAGCTTGCCCAGTAGCCTGGTTTTTTATAAAAACTTTGTGGAGTCATGCTGTCTTTAGTATTGAAGAGAAACTATAGAGATAGACCCGAGTAGTAACAGTGTTTTACCAGTGTATGGAACAGGTGGTTTTGAAATTGGCTCATTTTGGCCAGTAATCTTGGGGATGAAAACTAAATAACATACAGGATCTACATATTTAGGTGGTCAGGGGGGAAGACTTGCATCTGCACTTGAAACTCAAGTCTCTTCTTTCTCTGGCTCCTGGCAGGATAGCCTCTGTTTGTACTTGGTACAATTTTTATAGTTTTTGTTTGTTTTTGGAAGATCCCTCATGCTTGGGAATAAATGTACTCTTCAGAGAAAAGATAGAAATGTAATTAGGTGATGGAAGAACAGAACCAAATTTGGAAGAAAAAAAATCTCCACATTAACTCACAGAACAAGAAACAATACTAGAAAGGGAAATGAAACAAAGCAAAAATCTCAAGACTGGCTGAAATACCCCCTGGTGTCATCTGTGAAGTCAGAGGGGTGGTTTGAAAAACTAGGCCTACTGACTTGTGGAGGTCCCCCCAGCCTGCTCCCATTGTGGTTTGGTGACTTGTAGGCAGAGGGGACCATAGACAGTTTTCATTTCAGGTTTTACTTTTTAAATAAATTTTACTGAAGTATAAAATTATTATCAGTAAAGTGTGCTAATTTTAACTGCAGAGCATAATTAGTTGTGCAAAATGGACACATACCCTTGTGTAACCATAATCCCAGTAAAAGATTTTGCAGCATTCCCGAAGTTCCTTTCTTCCTCTTTGCAGTCAATTCCTCACCCCCTGCTACCTACCCAAAATTGCTTTCTGATTTCTCTTATAGTCCTTAAATTCCTTGAGTTCTTGAATTTCATTTAAATGGAATCATACTATGTACTCTTAGTCTCTGGCTTCTTTCTTGTTAACATGTTTTTAAATTCATATGTGTTATTGTGGATAGCAGTATTTGTTGTATGACTATGATGAATATAATTATTTTCATATTGATGGGCATTTTAATTCTTTCCAGCTTTTGGATATTATGAGCAAGACTGCTCTTGGCATTTTCACACCATCCAAATTTGTTCAGAATATTTTCTTATTAGTCTGCTGATGTCTGTGGGATCTGTCCTGACATCCCTGTTTTTATTCCTGATGTTGGTTTATTTGGATCTTCTGTTTTTTCCCTTGATCATGTTAGCTTGTGGTTTATCCAGTTTATTTTTTTGGAAAGAGCAAGCATTTGTTTTTCTGAGTTGTCTGTCCGTTTTATTGATTTCTGCTCTCTATTATTTCCTTCCTTGTACTTTGGGTTTAAATTGCTTATCTTTTTCTGCCTTCTTAAGGTGGAAATGTAGATCCATTTTAAAAAGTTCTTTAAAAGCAATGTTGATTGAGGTATAAGTTACATTATTTTACTTGGCATAATGCTTTTGAGTTTCACCTGTGCTGTATTTTGTGTCTTTTTATTGATGGGTTTTATTCTATCATATGGATGTATACCAGTATATACCAGGTTATTGATGAACCTTTGTGCTGTTTCCACTTTGCGGCCACCATGCATGAAAGCTGCTGTAAACCTTTGCGTGCAGGTCTTCATTTGCCAGTGTTTTTTTTTTTTTTAATTTTACAATGTTGTGTTGGTTTCTACCATTCAACAGTGCAAATCAGCCATAATTATACTTACATCCCCTCCCTCCCCCCACCCCTCTAGGTCATCACAGATCCCCAGATGGTACTCCCTGTGCTACACAGCATCTTCTCACCAGCTCTCCTTCTTGCCCCTGATAGTGTATATATGTTGATGCTACTTTCCCCACTGTGTCCACAAGTCCATTCTCTACATCTGCATCTTCCCTGCGAATATGTTCATTGATATTTTTCTAGATTCCATACATTTGCATTAATATATTTGTTTTTCTTTTTCTGACTTACTTCACTCTGTATAACAGGCTCTAGGTTCCTCCACCTCACTAGAATTCAGACTCATTCTATTTTATGGCTGAGTAATATTCCATTGTATATATGTACCACAGCTTCTTTATCCACTCATGTGTCAGTGAACATCTAGATTGCTTCCCTGTCCTGGCTATTGTAAACAGTGCTGCTATGAACGTTGAGGTACATGTGTCTTTTTCAGTTATGGTTTTCCTCAGAGTATATGCCCAGTAGTGGGGTTGCTGGGTCGTATGATAGATTTATTCCTAGTTTTGTAAGGAATCTCCATACTGTTTCCCATAATGGCTGTATCAGTTTACACTCCCACCAATGGTCCCCTTTTCTCCACATCCTCTCCAGCATTTATTGTTGGTAGATTTTTTTTGATGATAGCCATACTGACTGGTGTGAGGTGACACCTCATTGTAGTTTTGACTTGCATGTCTCTAATAATTAGTGATGGTAAGAATAAGTTTAGCTTTATGAAATACTGGTGTACTGTTTTCCAAAAAGAAAGTATGTTGCATTCCTGCTAGCAATGAATGAGCATTCCAGTTAACCTACATTCTTGCCAACAGCTAGTATTATCACTTTTTTCAATTTTAGCCATTCCAATGAGTGTGTATCTCATTGTGACTTTGATTTGCATTTTCCTAATGATCAAAGATATTGAGCATCTTTCCTTGAGCTTGTTTGCTCTGTTTATATCTCCTTCATTCAAATATTCTGTCCATTTAAAAATTGGATTGCTTGTCTCATTATTGAGT